TACATTATGTTTACCATTAGTAAGCAAGTGACTGTTTCCAAAATAGATCCCAATGTTGTGGGACAGCTGTAGAGTCTTTTGTAGTCAAGGTTCAAGGACTTACGTCGAGCATATCGTTCAATTTTTCCCTGCCTTAATCCTCAATAAGTCTGCTCCTGTTCACAGCAACACATACACAAACAGCACATAGAGATTGCTCCTGTATAAGAGTGAAATCATACTGGTCTCTAGCCTCTAGAGGAGCACCTAGTTACCCTCCCCTAACCTTACCATCTGCATCAAACTGCCATTTGAAGCCAAGATAAATCACAGAAGCCTCTGTCCATGCTGGGAATAGAACTTTTCCAGATAAGGAGGTCAAGGGTCACATTTCTGGCCAAGGTTGACTGTCCTCGGGGGCTAAATAAAGAGCCTAGGAGTTGCAGAGCAACACAGGCTAGCACAGGCCCTCACTTTCAATTAGGATCAAACAACCATCCAACGTGAACTTGGACTGAGGCTCAGGGAAGAAGAGCAGGCAACCTTATGGATCAAAATGTCAGGGAGGCATGCAATGCACATTTCCTCCTGTAATTTAGGGAAAAGCTCCGTAATCAATTCATTCTTTAATCAACGAACCGCAGCCCTCTCATTTCATAGTTAGAATTAAATGCTTCAAAAAGTACTTGCGGACGGTTGGGCTGTTATTAGGTTGTTTGTTTACTCTGCTCCAACCAAATAAGACCTCTGACCCACCCTGCGGAATGCGAGCAGAGCCGGAGAGTGGGAGGTCGCCGCCGTCGTTTACATCCTAAACACATGACAGACTGTCAGGCGGAGGTCAGAGCCGGTCAAGTTCACATCCCTCAGTTATCCACACATCTAATGCCTGCAAGAAAGCCCAGTTCTCTAAAGACAACGGATATTTTATTTTCTGTCTCAAACAAATTGAGGATATTTTTTCAGGTAACAATTTATATACGGTGCGATACAGTGGCTGCTATATCCTACTGTACATACTACAATTGAATGTTTACCACCCTATTTCGTCTCGTGCAGGGAAAGTAACTGGTGGTAAATTGTTTAAGTGCTCCCATCATGTCCCGTAGTGTTTTCTCTGTAAAGTCTTGTAAAACCATTAATATGAAAAGATCCTTCCTAAATAGCCCAGCATCAATTTTAACAAAAATTTGCCCTTGTCCAAAAAAGAGGCAAGTACATTCAAACCCAACGTAACCCCCCACAGATTTTTAGGTCGTCCTTGTCATTCTTTGATCCCACGTGAAAAGGCTGGAGTCATGCTGCAGTGATCAGTCAGGGTCTGGTCCTACTCCACTTTCCCTCCCTCCTTGTCTCTGAAGTCTCCCGTTGTAGTTTGGTTTCTCCGGCAGTGGGTGGTGCTAGAAGACTTGAGTCTCCGCAACGCTATTTCCTCCAAATATAACAAGGCTGTCACCTATTCTACCCTCCTTTGTCCTTTCCATCACTCACCTCCATACGTCAAGCCACTGCAGCATCCCCCTTCAGCCTGGTATTATGGGGTGAGTGGGGCCACTGTCCCTTTCAAACTGGCCTGGATGAGAGAGCAAAGGGACGTTCTAATACAACTATGTTATATAAAAGAAGTCCGATTCTTTGTAATCACCACAACACCTAATGACAAAAAAGTGGGTTTGAAAATCGACTAAAAATTAGTATTGATACACAAATGGACCGCCTACATAAACCAGTGACGCGCCATCTGATCTCGTGTCTGTCATGAGGTCATTTGTGTGAACGATATTAATTGGGTTCCTGACAAGGCCACAGCCTGCAGCTCAGTTATGATTCCAGTGGGTAAATATTTGTCTATACGAACCCCTTGCAAGGTGCCGTAGTGAGTCTTTGTGTGCGGCAGCGTACAATGGCTTTTTCTGTGTACATATCACTCAGTGTCTGTGTCGGTCTGTGCGTTTGTGCGTCCGTGTAGCAGCTCAATCACCCCTCATCACCTCCCTCCCGGCCCCGGCGTTTTCTCTACAGCTGCAGCTCGGCAGAGTTTGATCAATAACGCGTCCTTCATTCTCAAGTCAGGCCTGACCTTGGCAGCCTTTTGTCTCCTTCCAGGGGCCAGAGTGCGCATGTACAGGTTGGAAAACAAGGCTCTCAAAAATAAAAAAAAATGCACCCTTGGAAAGAAAAAGAATTACCCTCGCTTCCTCCACACGACAGCCCTCTTACTAAGCACCTAATGAATCATATATTTATATCTCTAATGGGGTGAAGCTGCTTTTGAACTTATTTGCCAATTTACCACAGGCCAGAACAGAAAGGCATTGATTTTCCCTGGTAGAAGTCACCAGTGTAAAGCCTAACCTAACAACAACAAAAAAAAACTGTGGTCAGCAATTGAGGGTAGGTAGTGCATTTGGAGTCATATTTTTAAGAGCTGAAACAAGAAAGGCCGCTGCAGAGGCCAGTTGGAGTCAATCTGACAGATCCGTTTACATGCTAATGCGGCCTGACGCAGCCTGCAGGTGGCACCATTTATAGATTAGCCCTGCAGTCGCATTCTCCCACTGCCAATATGCATTCTCATTGCCTGCAAGAGAAAAATGTTCTCTAAAAAGGTAGATATTGAATCTGTCTTATGATGGCGTGTTGAAGTGAGCAACAGGTTACCCCTTTATAAAGGAGTGTTCATCATGGGACATGCTCCTCTGTTTATGTCAATAGAAATCAGTAAACACTAATGTACTGCCAGTAAGATGGAGAATTTTTAGTAAAGGCATTAATGCTTTTGAAATAAGAGTGTTTATTTGGGGGAATCTGTTTTTAGTTGAGATCTTACTAAGAATCTGAGGACGCCTGAGTCTGAGTACATTTTTATACATGAGTGATTCATTCTGGTGTCTGAGAGCCAGTTGCATTAAGATTAATGACAAAATTAGCACATATTAGGGCTGACTAATTTTGCTCTGATCCATTTGGAACCTTGCAGGAAAGGAGTGGTAATTTTATAAACTGCTCCAGGAACAAATTGAAGCTATTTAGCCAAGAAGAAAAAAAAAAAAGCAACTTCTAAAAGTGCTGAACCAATACTGTGGAATCCCGACAGGCATTAAGTTAAATCACACCAATTCTGTCTTTTTTTCTTCCATTTAAATACATTTTAAGATAATCAGTTGCTGTTAAATAGTTAATTACTGTTTGGCTGGGGGATACCATCAATATTATACAATCAACGTACATTTTAGTGTCTTAGTTAGACCATCAACAAAAGAGATAAACAAAAGTGCAGAATTTATTAACGTATTCCACTTTTACAAAACAAAAACGTCATTACTTCAGCCTTTACAGAACCAAAATTTTCAAACAACTGTCGTCTTATACACCACCAAAAAAAAAGAAAAGAGAAACCCATATTTTCTTCACTACATCTTCCTCTTCTGGGTACTGATGTATAGGACTGTGAGAGGGAGACAAGAAAAAGGAGGAAAAATGGTAAGTGGACATTGAACATTTTTTTTGGCATATGTGAAGAACTAAAAGTGCATCCCCAATTTCACTGTTTTTTTAGACACCAGTAAAAACTTGCTTTCTATCAGATTGAATTCAATCCATGAAAAACGCAATTTCATATGATACAAGATTGCTGGAATATTGCCCCAGACATACGATTTAATAATGACAAATACAAACAATCAGAGCAAAAGCAAAACAAAAAGAAAAGAAAAACACATGGTGCTTCTTGAAAATGCTTTCACCCTTCCTTTGCACCCTTTAACCACAGGCTATTTCTTCTGTGAAGCTCTGACCCACAGCAGCACATTTTCTCTCCCTACTTCAGTCGCATTTCCCATCTTAAAAGGTAAATTGTAGAATTGATTAGCTCTGGTCATACTGGGCAGGGGATGTAGACTGAACTGAAAAACAGACGGGTTTCTGATGCCTGCTTGCTCCTAAACCTAAATTCATCCACCTGCTCCACTGTGACCAAAATAGTCCGATCTAGAGACTAAAGTCCACCGGCCGGCATGATTCACGTTCACGGCTGAATCATACAGCAGATACAGTGCCTGACCAGAGAAGGAGTTTTGGATCTCATGGGGAATTAAGAACTGATTGAACCATCTCTACTCACCAGATCCTTATAACAAATTGGTACAGAGAGACCGGATTTTCAGGGATTAAAAACAATCTGTTTTTAGGCATTTCAGAGTCACTATAATAAAATTGTTTTGGCAAACAAGTCAGAATAGGACAGTGGATATTGGGTTAGGATTAGGAATTTTTAAATCTGTTTAAACATAGGAAAACTCTAATATTCCAAACTAAGTTGTCATATTGGATAAACCATGTGTAGAAGTTGAAGTAGAACCACTCTCCCATCCAACAGTTTTACACTTTTAAAAATAAATGTTTGTTCTCACAAAGGCTTATGAATAAAAAAACAAAGTACCCCAGCCCTTTACAAAATAATTTATCACCAGAATTCAAATTTTACAACCTACATCCTTAAAATGTGATCATTCACAGCATGGGGACAAATCCATGCTGACAATGTGTCTGCAGTAACTCCTGTTTACTGGTCTCATAAAACAATGAATGAACAATTCTGTTCAATAATAATGCAGTGCTAATCATCTCAAAATAGCATTTAACAGATCTAATTTATTGATGGCTCCATTAATCACATTGTAACAGCCCTGTTAAAAGTCTTTTGTGCCTGTGCCACACATGATTAGCTTTTGCAGCTTTATAATGTCTCCCAACGTTCTGCTAAGAAAAGGTGTAACCACCATGGTAGATTAATGAAAAGATCTGAGATTAAAAGCTACCTCTGCGAAAACTGATACCCTTTGGCAAAAAGGGCTGGATCATCAACAGATGAAAATCTAATTACTTCTTAAATAACCCGGCCGCAGATCTTTTTTTGGGGGGTTCTCAATGGTCCCATACCTTTGATTTTATTTACTTTTTTTCTATATATATTTGGCGCATTAACAAAAGATGCAATTGAAGTATACGTTGAATATACATGTTGAGAGGCCATGAAGACACAATGCAACCATCCAATCACTTCCAGATATTTCAAAATTTCATGCAGAAAATAGCTCGAAAATCTTCCTATAGAAAAAAAAAAAAGACCTCAGACAAGTTAACAAGTTTCAACAAGTTTGTTGAAATGTGATTACTCTAAACCTGGCCAGAGAAAAACTCAAAATTAAATGGATGAATAATGGTGCTTAAAATAAAACCCTTAAAGAAAAGGATCTTAACCAATTGAGATAATTGACGGATTGTGTATGCAAGAAGTGCATATATTTATACAGTGGCTTTCCCTTTAAATAGAAAAAGTTCAAATGATATGAGCTATAACAATTCTATCACAATAAGTGTGAAATATGAGCTCTCAGGATAAAAGAGACACGGGCCTCAAAGCTTTAAGTGCCAAAATGTACAAACTTACCATTGTTTCCTCTCAAAAAGGCATCCCCATACTTGTTCTTGAGCTGTCCATTGACATACTCCTCCGTCTGCTCTATGGCAATGTTCATGTATCCATCCAGACAGGCAAGAACGCCTGCACAAAAGCACAGGTAGTCCTTCTGATTCACTGCCAACCTCAAGATCATCATTAAGAAAACAAACAGCTAGTAACTTACCTCTGTAATCGACACCAGAGTTCAGTTTGACCACCACGGGTCTCCCAATGATCTGCTTCAGAAAGTCACTCGGGGTCTGCTTTCTTAGACTCATTCTGGCTGTAATCTATGAAGATCACACGAAGGGTTTAACTTGCAGTTATGGCAAAAGAATACATTACACTCAAACAATCTCATTCGATCGTGGACGTTCATATTTGATTAATTGATTGATTATTCAATTTTAGTGGAATAACAAATAACTATGTCATACTTGAATGAATGAAGACAGTGTTAAATCATCTTCTACCATATTGCTTTCAAGGTAAAGTAAGAGTGTAATTGGGGTTGTAGTTGAATGTTTAACCCTCTTTTTGTAAGTCACTTTGGGTAAAAGCGTCTACTAAATGCATAATTGTGAATGTAAAAGATTGCAGGTTTTGATTTGAGAAGCCTTGTGTCTCATAAACACAGCACTTTATGCAAATAGGTAACGTTAGCGGCAAGAGCTAAAGCGGCTAGCTTGCTAACGTACTACTGTTCAGAGTCTGCTAACATCTAACAATGTTGGAGGTTTGTTAAATACTTGATTACATTGTATGTGTATATCAATATCACAACAAACAGCTGTGTATGACAACAGAAAAACAATTTGATTTTAATAACAAAAAACTACATGTTTAGTCGCATTTCACTCACCCGCAAGACGTTTTCCAAACGATTGTGTTCTCTGCGTGCACGGCCACCTAACCAATCAGATACGTTTACCTTACGGAAACCGAGTGGGGACACACCAAAGGCGCGTCTGTATCGCCTTAAAATACATCCATTTTAATTTACGTAAAAATGTTGAGGTCTTTTACTAATTTTTTAGTCCCATTTGACTACGTTCTATAAGTAATTCTTTTTTTCCCATTTCCTTGCACATGTTAAGGTCCATTTCTTCAGCAGATCAGCGTTGTTACAGCGGTTTAGCAGAAACAGCTGTTTATAGTTTGAATTTATTACTCACAAGTAAAGCACTTTGAATCTTCTTGTACATGAAATGCGCTAGACGAATAAACTTGCCTTACCTTGCCTTGCCTACACTTTAAATTGATCATTTTTGAGGAAGCTGACATAAAATCCTGTTTTATCATGTAATGCGTGTGTTTCATCTAGAATTGTATATGGGTTTACTTGATATTTTAGAAAAAGTAAAGTTACTGTGTTATATTATTAAGCTTTTTTGTGCAAATAAAATGTTTACAGTGCCGTTACACCATTGACTACAGGAAAAAATCTAGAATTAAATGGAACTTTTTAAATACATATAAACATAAATCAATTGAACTGAAGACAATACGGCATGTTATTTATCTTTTCAAGGAATACAAAAGAAAACTAATCTTATACATATATTTATTATAATGTACATTACAAATGTATATTGTAACATATATTTTACAATATGATACATATTTTAATATAATATATAATAAATACTTTTTCTAAACAATAAAAAAGGTTGTTTATTTACCTTAAAATAAAACATGGCAAGCAAAAATAAAACTGTAACAACATGATTATTATTTATTTGTGTTTGTGATATGAGGTTTAAATCTTTTACATCTAATTATTATGCTACTGGTTAGCTGTTTTGTGGGGGATAAGACAAAGTCTATTCTTTGATAAGTCCTGGTTGTTGGGAGCATGACCCAAACACTGCACAGCTTGGGAGGTACATGAAAAATGGTGTAAGGGGGTAAACAGGGATGAAAGGGTGAGGTGAAAGATAGAAGAGGATAGAGGGCGGGCGGATGCGCCAGGATGTGTTAGTAGAGAGGTTGAGAGAGAATAAAAGAGACACACTGAGAGAAAGAGGGGGGATTGAGAAAGGTGGAATCATAAAGTACTTCTCATGTGTCTAGACAGGTTGCTTGTTAGCAGGGCATGGCTAGCCCTGTGGAGGCTAGAGGTTAATTTGGTATCTGCTGCTGTGTTAAACTAAGGTCAGTACTACAAGTCCTTAAGTCATAAACAAGAGTGGTTAAGAGCCGTGTATACACCTAGGCTCCAGTTAATGAATATTCAATGAAGACTTTTTTCCCCTTGTCCACTGTTCCTTTTGTTGTTGCTTGCTTTGAAGAAAAATTTTGAAAAGAAAAAAACAAAACACACTTTATCTCTTCGGGTCTCCAAAACGACCTCTGTGAACTTATATGCATTTGTCCTTTGGAATAACAACAATAATCTGGTCATTATAAAAAGTTAAATTTGGAAATTTCCCTGTTGCATCCTAGTCACACACTTCTGTCACTGAATGCAATGAAGCAACCCTCAATATGGCAGCTTCATTCAAGAAAGCCAATTATGTAATGATGATGTGGTACGTTTCCAGGCTGATAACTTTGTGGCTAAAATAAACCTTACAATTAGAGCCAAGGCTTTTTTCTCCATACTATGGGGTGCATATTTTTAATGTGCTGATTAACTCAGTAAGCAACAAAATGTTTGAAGCGAGCACTCAAAAACAAATCAAGGCATCCAGGGGATCTGAAATCGGTGTGTTTTCACTGAGCAGCAGCAAAATTCATCATATAACTTGGCTAAAATAGGGGTTAATTGTAATCAGTGGCATAGTGATCTAAAATCATGGTTAATACCACATCCCATTTTATCATAGATTGCATGTCAGTGATGGTCACACATTCTGCTCCATGTAATCGCTGTAAAGTAAAGTGTGTGGGAGTACACTTCTGAAATGCCAAGCCTTTTTACCGCCCTGAAATAGATAAAGTGCAAAAGCATTAAAAGAGCTTTTCATTGCCTCTGGATTCAAATCAAAGTTGACAGGTGACTGTCAACATCTAAAATGTGGTCAGAAAACGAAACAAAGGAAAAACGTTAATCGGTAGATACATAGTTGTTGTTTTTTTTGGGTGGGTAATCTGATTAAACCGGTCTGGTGATTATTCATGGACATTTTTAAAAACGATTGGTCTATTTTGAAAACATTCCTATATAAACGCACTAGGAATAAGTGGTATAGATAATGGATGGATTGATGTTCCCTTGCTTTTCAAGAGCAAAGGCCCTAAAGTAGCTTGTTAAATAAAAGTCTTAACTTTGCATGTTTGTTGCACTTTGCCTTTTCTAAAGATGCAGAAGCAACAAAACCCTCTTGAGTTAAGACTGCATGAATGAACGTTGAAGTTTACAAAAAAACCATTTACTTGTCATATGTGTTAAAATGGTACACTGATTTAGCTTTTTGTAATTGTAAAATAGTGGAAATCCCTCAAAATTAGTACTTTCAAGTTTTAAGAATTAACAAGAAAAAGAATTCAAGAATTCAACTGATATATATGCACACTAAAATTTTTCAGTTTACCTGTTTTTGAAGTAAATCAACCAACATGACCAGTTTGTTCTTTTAGTTTCTTTCATTTCTACTGATTTGTTTGTCTCTTTAAATTAATATCTATATGAGATAATCGTATTACTAAATATGCCAAAACTCAGAGTAGCGTGAACTTGTATTAAGCCAAACTTTAAACGGATTTAAAATGTCCTAATTGGTGACGTTTTGGGTCAAATTGCATCAATTAACTTTTTATCTTAATGTTTGATATTTTAGTATTTATTCAATTTTGTGTCCATTTGAACTCAGCACTTTAAAGCTGAATTCCACACTGCTGTATTCAAACTGCCATATTAGCAATGGATCAAACTGCAATGTTAAAGATAAGAAATGGCAAAGCCCCACAAATAATCACAATTCTAATCAGCTTCATGAAGCATTTCACTCTATTTCGGCTTGTTGTTGGTGTTTTATTATCCATGACTAACTGCTGTAGTCAGCACGGTTTTCATCTGAAACAGACCTCTGTCCTCCATGGAATAGAATATTCTAAAAGAAAAGTATCATGAATGTATATAAAAACATTTAAACAGATAATTCCTTGGGAAATGCTCTGACCATCCTGAAAACAGTGACCATCCAGAAACCAAGACATTCTGGATACACATCAGTCCACACATCAAAAAAAAATTTTCTCCATCTCCAGACCCCTTAACCCTGAGGGATGGGCTAGTGAAATAGAAAGATTACGGTGACAGGACATGAGTAGGAAATGGGGTACTGGACCAAAGCAGGCAAGGGCTTTAGGTGAGTAGGAATAAAGAGGAGGGGGCACATCCCTCTTGTATCCTAAAGCAATATTCTGGATAGGAGGTAGAGGTGGGGGGTTGGTGGCGCAGGATGAGAAGAAATTCTAGACTTCATTGACCCTTCTGTGGCCAGGTTTTCTCTTGAGGTCAAGCTTGATATGGAGAAGATAATGGAAAAGCTTGGGGGAGTTTTTGAAGAAAAAAAAAGAAAAACGATGAGATAGGTAGACAGAGTACCCCTGTTCTCGCGTCTGTGTAATCCCTTACTGTATAGAGGTAATAGCTTGGAAGTAATGGGAAACCTTTCTGCCAGAAAAAGGGGCCTGGAAACCTCAGTTGCATGGCTTGATGCCTGTATCTTTTGCTTATTTTTGAGAGAGGCTGACTTGTTCAAACCTCTTGTCAGCCTGTCCATGCCTGTCCCTGGCTCATTTAGCATTCAAACAAACACCAATAATAACAGTTCCACGTGGATTCAACATCGTAGGTAAATGCATTAAGGTAACAAAAAATCATTTTTGCTCCATATAATTTTAATGCCAATAACACAATCCTCAACTCCAATTCAATTACTCAGCTCTAATGCCTAACAGTGGTTGGCCATCCTTTGGGCCTCACGCTGTGCAGAGGGGTTGGTCGCAAGGCAGACTAGGTGGGATGTAATCACTCCCTGTAATTTGGAGGAAATCCACAGGGCTGTTCACAGTCAAGATGAAAGCCCTCCTCTTGTTCCACCCCCTTCACAGAAACCAGGCTCCACCACCTCTGAAAAGAGTAGTTCCAATTCTGCCTGGTTGCTATCCCCCGGGGGTTAGTCCCGAGACCATCTCAAATCAGCTACAGCCCTGGAGCCATGTTCTTTCCCCAAGGAGAGCCACAGCAGCCAGACAGTCAGACTGCCCATCCTGTGCTGAATGGCCCAGGCGCAGACAGCCAGCACACAGGTCTCCTGAGATCCTCCTCCGTGGAAAGAGAGCTCACTGGAGCTTATGCAGCGAACCCTACCAGTACCACGGCTGTCCGTCTGTCTGTCTCTCCGTCTGACAGCGTCCCATGGTGCCTTGTCCTCTGGAGCTTCTCTTTAATATCTCAATCTAAGACAAAGGAGGAATAAAGAACATCCGGCAGTTATGCTTTCCCGCACCACGGAGGGGACACTGAATTTCTTAATTTTTCTCACTGGCAGCTGTTTAGCTGACTTGTGCATTTGTCCTCCATTTGTCAGTTTACTTTATAGTCTTAATGACGGAGAACTTCACAAGAAAATTTGACTTGAGTCATGAGCAGATTGCCCAGTTTGATCACTTTGTCACACAACGCCACCCGACCAACTTGTCAGATAGACACTGTAGTGGTTTTGCTTGATAGATGGTGAATGGTGCTTATACAAGGAGCCACTCCAGTGCGCCCATAAATATGCATCGTGACATTTGGAACAAAGCCGCTCGTCCTCTCTTTCCTGATGAGCTCTACCCGCATACTATAACATATTGCCATACTGTCACACCTTGTGTTTCATAGCCAATCTCTCTGTTCATCAACTTGGCAGATAACCTCTAGATGCTGACAAATGATATGGGGGATGGCATTAGGGCTCTATTGTATGAAGAGCTAGGAAGCCGTTTCTAACAATGC